TAAAAAATTTATGTTATGTTATGTTACATAATGTAAAATCTTTTACACATATGCAATAATGAAATAGCTGCTACAAATTTAAGTGCCCTTAATACAGACCAATGCAGTCAACTGAAAGTGTTCTACTCAATCTACGCGGCTCTTTGACATAATATAAACTAAACACGTATTGAACTGATAAACACTGTGCTGAAAACACGTTATAAAGATTGTTTGACATATATAAACTGTGTGTTAAGGAAGAGGAAGAATAAGAAGAAAATTTTCATTAGTTTGGACCTGTAAGGTATACATAATTTTAAGTAAGTTTAAATACAGATACATATCTAAGCATTAATAATCTGATATCGTAATTTGATATTGACAAAGCATTATTGTTTCTTTATTTTTATCACTTCGTAATAAATGAGTAAACTTAATTAAGGTGACAACAGACACTTTCCGTGGTACTCACATAAATGTCATTTAAACCAACTTATTTTAGTGATAATTGTTATTTATTTAATCTTTGTGCATTAAATGTCGTTGATTCATCATAAAAAAATAATAACATATTTTAAAAAATGCCTTTGTAAATGATTGATTTTTAATAAAAATCTTAAAATTTTAAATCGTCATATTCAAAGTCATTTTTTATTTTTTTGTCAATCAAACTTTTGGAAAAAATAAACATACTTATAATATCTGCGGGAACCGTGTCTCAAATTTTTTCTATCTTTCTCGAAAAAATATTACGTAACGTCAAACAATTTTATGCGACTTTTTTCACCATACATATTACGTAATTAAAGATAATTAAGCCGTTGATTGAGCAAACAAAAATCCCTGACACGGTTCCCTCTGTAAATGAATTCCCTTTCATGTGGCTTTAATTCGCATGTTTAATTGCCTTGATTATTAAAAAAGTTATGCCGATTCAAAGTTAGTCCGACCCGCATCAAACGAAGTGTTATAAATTGGCTTGTTTCTCTCTCGGACCCTACGTTTCACGCTAACTAATTGCATAATACACAAATATCGCCACCAGAGAGGGTCACAAGTTGCGGTACATACTCTAACAACATTTTATGACCCAGTAACAATCTGACCAATTAAAAAGTTGCTGATTAATATCAGTTTATAACAGAAATTTCTTCAAATCTTAACGTGATTTACCGTCCGTTTCTGGTATCGGTCGCACATGTCACGTGACTTTCGGTAAAATTTTGAGGCACTCGGTGGGGGGGGAAAATGGAACGTTTTTTGCGCGACCGCTAGCGGGGTATTTAATTGTTTCACTTTTGAAGTTTATTATTATTATTATCAGCATTTCAGCATTATTATTATATTATACCAGTGTCACTCTGTGTATTCGTTTATGAAATTCCGTTAAAATATAAATTAAATAACAAAAAAACTGAGCTTCTGACGGTCTTTTAAAGTCCATGGTAGATGTAGAAATAAGAACGGGATATTATATATATTTTCCTCCAAATTGATATAAATCTAAGACAACCTAAATTGGTTTACAAATTTGTCAGGGACACCTTACCACAAGTCATATAGGCGTTCACATAAACAAGAGCGATCAGTAATCACATGTGTCGCCTCATGATGGCCAATTTCATGTTGGGACAAATTTTGTGACAGACGGACAGACAGACGGACAGTGCACAACTAGACTAACAACTTTGTACTGATCATCCCTGTAAAGTTTGGATAAAATTGCACCAGTAATTTATGAGGAGTAGTCCGGACAAGCTTTTGCGGTATCTGGCAACACACAGAAAAAACACCTTTTTATCAAAGGGCCATAACTCAGCCAAAAATCATTTTCAACCGGAAAACCCGTGCAATATGCGCAAGGACTTGAGCTACAGATTTCAATCCTGTAAAGTTTCATTGAAATTGCATAAGTGGTATAAGAGAAGTAGTCTGGACAAACTTTAAAAATAAAAATTATTAAAGGGCCATAACTCAAACAAATCATTGAACCGGAAAATGCTGACAATATGCACAACTAGACTTGGTACTGATCATTCCTGTAAAGTTTGGATGAAATTGCACCAGTTAGTTTATGAGGAGTAGTCCGGACAAGCTTTTGTGTATTTGGCAACACACAGAAAAAGAAACCTTTTTATCAAAGGGCCATAACTCGGCCAAAAATTCATTCAACCGGAAAACCCGTGCAATATGGCGCCAAGGGTTGAGCTACAGATCAATCCTGTAAAGTTTTCATTGAAATTGCATTAGTGGTATAAGAGAAGTAGTCCGGACAAACTTTAAAATTTAAAAATTATTAAAGGGCCATAACTCTGACAAAAATCATTGAACCGGAAAATCCTGACAATATGCACAACTAGACTTGGTACTGATCATTCCTGTAAAGTTTGGATGAAATTGCACCAGTAGTTTATGAGGAGTAGTCCGGACAAGTTTTGTGACGGACGGACGGACAGACGGACAGACAGACAGACAGACAGACAGACGGACAGACGGACAGACGGACAGACAGACGACGGAGAAGTGATCCCTATATGTCGCCACTACTCCGTAGAGGCGACACAAAAATGTTGTCTGTTTTTGTTGTTGTTTTACTTGACATTGTTAGAAAACGAGGTTGAATGTAAAGCAAGCCCTTGAATCCGTTCAAAGTCCATAAACTCAATGTAATATCTATCAGATTAACGGGACAGACAAAATTATTTTCACACATTATGGATATTTTAGCAACTATATTTTTAATCAACCCCGTTCGCAACCCACGATTTTGATAAATCATGTCACATAACATGTAATAAATGATAAATGTTAATGGTTCGACCGTGGGTATCCGACGATGGATTATTTCTGTTTCATACATTATGTTACGTACATTGGCCGACAATTTCTTATTTTATAAAAAAGGCTACATAAAAGGTAGACGATATTCGGTATTTGTACGATACATGAATTACGAGTAGTATGGACCAGTATGGAGTGTGTGTGTTTGTGTTTGTTTACCCTCGCCACCGGAAAGAGACCATATGGGCGAGCAGATGGACCGGTAATTCACGCATATATATATGGAACTACCGATTTCCCCCATTGATGCCTCAGCAGGGGGCGGAGCGTTATCGATAATTGACAGGTTACGCGAATAGCAGATAAAAATGGTACAGGTACCGTTTTAAAACGTTTAAAAACACATTTTTTGGACTAACTGCTCCCAACATTAAATCACGAATGTGTTCAGAAAAGATAGATAAATCTACTAAGCAAAAAATCTCATTTTAGGTATTTTCAGTGATAATTGACTCCGTTGTCACCTTAAACATACTTGGTCTATTTCTATAATATTTCTTAAAATATATATTTCTTAAATTTTCATATGCAGGACACTTAAACACAAAATGGAACTCATCTTCAATTTCATTTTAGTGCAAATTAAACAATATCTTAAATTACGATCTACTCTTTCACTGCGAATATCTACCTGTCTATATTCTAAGATTATGAGCTGAAATGCAGTTTTGTCAAAGTTATTCTTAGTCTTCCCGCTCAATACAATATTTTCTAAATAATGTGACATTCCAAAACTGTCCTTTAAAAATAATACATCATTACAATTTATACTAGATCTCCATTCCTGTAAAAATTTGTTTATTAATCTCTGTTTAGAAACACCAATAAAATAATTTTGATTTACGCTTAATGGGTTTCACCATACATCCAAAAACCCTTATTTTTCTAAAAGTCTTGTACATTTGCAAACCAGTTTGTAAACCCTATATTTATATCAGACATACATGAATTAACAAATGAATTTATAATAATATTACTTGAAATCCATATCTAATAAACTAATAACTAATAAAAGGGTCAAACAACTGTAAAGCTATTTTGGTTTTGTTTCATATTTTGTTAAATGTTCCACTAAATCATTTAGGACCATATGAAGTTAAAATTTCCTGTATAATACAATGTGACACCTAGATAATTAAAATCATTTACAATTCCTATATTATTTTGACCATATAACCAGTTTTCTCCTGCTCTTAAACCACCTCTCTTACGAAAAACTACTATTTAGGTTTTATTTACATTAACTTTTAATTCCCATTTAAAACAATATTCAAGAACTTTGTAAAAGCAACAACAATATTTACACAATAATACGGTATTTACCATTCCACTCCGTTAACACACGACAGCAAAATTCCTAACAGTGAACACTTATTGGCAGGTACTTTAAATAAACAAGTTAATGACAATCGTTTTTGTAAATATGAGAAAGAGACTTAAATAAACAAACAAATAATCGTTAAACAGTAAACTTTTTTATAGTTAACAACAATGTTCAACAGAACTTTTAAAGGCACATTATACCTATGAAACAAATAAATCTTTACCTCTTTAAACATGTTAAAAAAGGGCAAACATAATTTTATAATGTTTAAATACATGTAGTGGTTTTACATAAATGTAAAATGCCTGTTACCTGAAAATAAAGCAGCGATAAATGTGAAATAATGTGCCATAAAAGTAGCAAAATGTAAACAAAGTAGTATTTTGACTTCCATAAAATTTACTAATTCACTATATCTGTATTTATTGCAAAAATGCAACAGATGATAAAGATGGTTTAGGTAATTGGCTGGCAATGAGTTTTTGGATACTATAAAAGTACACCAAAATTAAAAAGCTTTTGAGAAATAAAAATTAAAGCATTTCTGAGGAATTATGGGCCTTTAACGATAAGCAGTGATGCAATAAATGTAAAACTTATATGTTTTGCAGCAAACACTTAACGGTAAGAATTTGTACAACATTAACGTCAAAGAACTCTATACGAGAAAGGCTCCACGAAAAAAAAAACACTAAACGGCAAACACTTAACATTCAACACTAAACGACGAACATTTCACAACATAAGCAAGTGTGAAACATTTCACTACAGTTCATTGCAACAAGAATTTAACCAAAAACACCGGACTGTTTTATAATAACGCTATTTCCTAGCATAGAAATATCAGATCAATTCAACCCCATTCCACACAGCACCGACCCGATATCCGGACCATGACTTCCCTGTTGCATCCCACTCTACCGTAGTCTGGTTCCCGTCGTACTATAAATTTTAGTACTATTGAACGCAGAGGAACGCAGAGAAAAGGGCAGGTAATCCAGACTAACTCTACCGTTACTGTACCATCTGGTTCTAATGACGTCACAGTACCCGGCTTGTTGCGATGGTCCTGCAAAATTGCAGTATAAAAACATGTTTTTTTTTCATTGATATGATATTTATATAGAATTCTTGAAAAATATCTTTGGTCAATAAGGCTTCACGTGGAACAAGAATGATCTATGTTTTAAACAGATACTCGGCCGTGTTATACATGGTTTAACTGTGCTTGCCTTTCTATCAATACAAAAATATTATCAATGTTTGATGAGAACATGGATAATCTGTTCGACAAATACCGGAAAAGGATTGCAAGGAGCCAATTAATTTACCGGAAGTCAATATGAATAACAAACTGCCCATGGCTGAAAAGTACTTCACTTAATTAAATACACGGTACAAACGAACTCGTACCACAAAAATACTTCAATTACATTTGGCCAAGTGGTAAGGTCGTTGACTTCAACCACTTGCCCCATACTGCTGTGGGTTCAAATACCGACAGGGACTTTGGATTATTTCATGTGAGGAAGCTATCCAGCTAGCATACGGAATGTCAGTGTTTCTAGTCAGGTACCCGTTCTGGCCTGAAATAATGTACGGAATGGCACCTGAGGTCTTCCTCCACCAGTAAAGCTGGAAAGTCGCCACATGACCTATACTGTGTCGGTGTGACATAAAACCCAACCAACAAAATGTGCACATGTAATAGAATTGTACATTACTGAGGATAACATACATGGTAAAGGCAAATATATTTATATATAATAAAGCGTATAAACTCACTTACCCAGTCATACGTAAAGCACGGACCTGGTCGAACTCTGGACCCAACTTTAGCTTTCACAGCATTTACTTGCCTTGTTTCTGTAAAAAGAGAATGGTACATGTATAAGTTAGCAGGTTAGAGGTACAGGCATAGTGGTTATACTGTGATAGTGTAGGATCTAGGACTATATTTTTCATATTAGGAAGATACCCAGCTAGCTCATGGACGGTCGATGATACAACAGTTTATCGCTCGCCAGGGAAGGAGCTCTCCCCCAACCGGACGCTCACCAAATAACCTTAATATAACTATAAACATCACTGACTTCAAACCACTTGCGACTCAACACTGTGGGTTCAAATCCGGCAATGGATTTTGGATTCGTTCTTGTTACACGGGGGAGGGGTAAGGATCTCAAAATTGAGCCTCGGTTAAAAAAAAAAGTGAATTTCCGCTGATCCAGATATGCGTAATAACACCATATGTGAAAAGAAAGTAGGTCAATCACAGTGTAAGTTTCCAACTTTTTAAGCATTTATATAAAATTCAAAGCTTTTTAAGAAACCCGAAATGTGATTCTACCCTCCTGACTTTTGACTTTATTTACCCATTTTTCAGATTTTTATGCAGTATTCGTCGAAATATTCTTTCCGTCGTGGGTTCTGGTGTGTCCAAAATATGCAATGCGTATGAAGAAAATATCGCCAAACGGACTCAAAATACAGTTTTACGATATCTTACCACCAAACGAAGATAAACATTCAAACAAAATCCTTATTGAAAAATTTATTGAGATTTGCCTTCAAACGAAGGAAACTCCGGTCAAAATTCAATCTGAGCTCCATATGTGCTGAAGAGATGCATAGGTGATATAGAAAAGCATCTACAAAACTACGTATTACCTCATATAACATTAAAGAGATAATCTAAATGAACAATTAAGGTTTCGTAGCTTTGTCTGAAAGTCCATTAGTTCATGTCTTTGGTAATTAAATATCAATACACAATAGGCTAACTACAAGTATCTGATGCCACCAATAGAAATGCATGTTGTGTGATTGACCTCTTTGTGTTTCACATATGGTGTTGTAATGCACAGCTAGGTCACCGGAAATTCACATATATTTTTAACCGATGCTCAGTTTTGAGATCCGTATGGGGTTCACCCCCTTGTTGTCGGTGAACGTCGGTGATGTTACTCAGACCGGTGCCCGTTTGTGTCTGAAATAATACACGGAGAGAAACCAGTGTTATTCCTCCACTAGTAAATCTGGATAATCGCCATATGACCTCTTTTGTTCTGGTAAAAATTAAAAATTAAACGTTTCAAATTCAAAGCAATGCGAGTCCGTATTATACTAATGCGATATGTGATATATCAATGTGATTAGTGATATACAAATGCATTTAGTAATATACCCGTGCGATAATATTGTTATTACTCCTTTGCGATAAGTGTTATACAAATGCGATGAGTATTGATTCAATGTGATTAGTATTATAATGAATGTAATAAGTTTTATACTAATCATAATGCCATATGTGTAATACAAATGCAATTAGTGTTATACCAATTTGATAAGCTGATCAGTGTTACACTAATGTAATATATGTTTAACCAATATGGTTATTGTTATACAAATGTGATAAGTTTTACACCAATGTGAAAAGTGTTATACCAGTGTAGTGAGTGTTAAACCAATGTGATACGTGTTAAATCAGTGAGGTATTAATGTGTTATATACCAATACGATAAGTGTTAATCCAAAGGGAAAGTGTAACACCAAATGTTATAAGTGTAACACCAATAAGATAAGTGTTATATCAGTGTAGTAAGTGTTATACCAATACGATAAGTCAATGCAATAAGTGTTATATCAATGCGGAAATTGTTTATATAATTATTTGTTGAAAGTTATATTTTAGGATAGAAATATAAACAACGACACGTGAATACAAGTTAGATTTAAAGTGATTTGTTCAATACATTACCGTTTCTCTTCCTCTTTTTGCCTTTATTTAGGTTGTCGGTATTTTGAACATTTGATCTCCGCGGGCTTTTAGGGGCCGCTGGCTGCTTCTCGTGCAGGACCGCTACAGGTTGATCAGGCGCCACAGTCTTACAGTCCGATGTCTCGAAATGCCCAAGGTGTTTTGATGAGTCCACCAAACCTGACAAATATTTATCTGGGACAAATGTATACTTTCTCGCGTTTCCTCCCGATGTTATTTTTGCCAAAGCCTTTTCTATTCCGGGTATATACAGTTTGCACTTAGCGGAGTTTATAAACAGTGCCTCACCGTGATAAACGCCCGTGTCCAATTTTTGTTTTAGTCGTTCAATTTTTGATAATATGGCCTTGCTATCTCGCTCCAAATTTTCAAGTTCTGTTGAGTTATCACTTCTTAATTTTTCAAGCTCAGAAAATATAAATCTCTCTTCTACATAGAGGAAGTTATCAATGTCTTTCCTGAAACTCTTAATTGCTTCTAAGGCTTGTGCATGCATTACTTCATTTTCAGTTTTGGCGTCGCATCTTTTCAACTCACATTCTCTAAACGCTGATGCGAGATCCGAGAGCTTCGTTAGTAACGATTTTAAATTTTCACTTTCATGAAAATTCGTCGATAAAAGTTCTATTAATTCTGTCTTACAACTCTTATGGGCCAATACTATACACTCTCTACATCCTACCGTGTCGTGATTTTGGCAATAAAATTCAATTTTCTCCGCAGGATGATGTTTACATTTTATCCGTGTTTCATTTTCCTCCGACGCGGATTGTTTCGTTGTATCCCCCACCAGCGTATGATATCTACACGGTTTTGCCTTCCGGTGATGGCGGAAACACGTGGAGCACATTGAATCATCACATTCCAGGCATTTACCTTCCGCCTTCGTAACAATGCCGTCACCTTTACAAGGTTCACATAAACCAAACTCGTTTAATCCAGCATTCTCAATCGGCTCTGTTTTAATTTCTAATACACCAATTTCACTGTCACATTCCTGTTTAATATTACTTACATCTATATCCATTGCAGACTCAAAGTTTAAATAATAACAGTTTAATGCATGTACATGTTTATCATGGTGTATTATGCAAACAGCGTGTAAGGAGTACAAGTTTACGCTAAAAATAGATTTAATTTTTTTTATTAAACTCCCAACATGTATTCAGTATTGGGAGTTTAAAATAAAGATTGATCAACGAGTGTGCTTAATTCATAGGTCTAGAAATGACATGTTGTAAAAAAGGCATTTGCAAATATATACCAAATCTTATAAAAGCAGACTAAATAATATAGATCTACTAATTTATCTAAAGTATCCACAATACGTTTCTAATTTTGGTTATATTTATATATAAGCCAATTTACTTAACGTATATAATTTCCGGTTGAAATACTCAAATTTTCTCAAATAGTCATTTGAAAATCTTTTGAGTAATAAATAAATTAATAAACATATTTTATCCTTATAAATTTCGAATTTATATCTTTTATATGAAAATTAAGCTGGTATATATAATGTTAACTATTTATCTGAATTTCATAAATGGACATGTCCAGCATTCATTTTCGGAACTGTCCATTATCAATTTTTGGATACCAAGAAGAAAATTTAAATTGACCAAGTTAGCAGATCTACTCCCGGTCTCAGCAGCCTATAATCGGAACTCCTGGGCTATATTCATTATCACGGGGGAGGAAGTGTTACACGAAGGATGGAGTTCTTATGACAACTTGTTCAGGAGTTCTTGTGATAACTGTCACGGAGTTCGTCGGAAAACATCTGTATATACTACAAAAACACTCGTCAAAAATGGTTATTTTCATCGTTCAAAAATGAGTTTTAAGGTGCTAAATTAAACTTTAATAATTAAGCTTGTCTTACATCTTTTATTATGTGTCAAAAACTAATTCACAGGCCATTTTAATCGTCTCTTGCTATAAATCTGGTAGTTTTCAGTAAAATTTCCAAATTATTTGCCAATTCACAAGTATTGACCTGTTTATTTCTGGTCTTCATCCTTGCCATACATAATTACCTAATATAATGCAAAATTGCAAACATAAAGCACCGGCTAACAGATTTATACCCGATTTTTCAAATATATTCCGGAGTTCTTGTGATAACTCTGAAGATGTCACAGAGTTCTTATGATAACTTTTGTTATTGCCAGTGTGTTTCTTGCGCTAAATCACAGCACGTTTTAGTGTTTTTAATTATTCAATGAGACCGTAAATCATTATGAAATATAAAACGCTCATCCGTTTTGAGTGAATTTTAGTTCAAGAGATATTATTTCTTACCCCCGTTTCTTTTTCGTAGTATTTTTTTGTTTGACGCAGATTTCGTAGACTGGAAAAAAGGATTTATGTACTGGTTTCCTAGCAGAATCCGGTTCCTAGCAGTATTCTGGCCCTTATCATTTTCACCCAGGCATACAGTCTATTTTTTATCAGTTAAGCATCTATGTTACTGCATCAATCAGAGAAACATTTGTTTTCTATGTAAAACAGCAGTTATAATAGTGCAGCGATTAATATGTTTCAAAGTTTTGTCTGTTGTTTTAAGTTACATGAATAAATGTGAGCAAAGGTGTTACATCTCAGGCCTTTATTCCATTAAAATGTAAAATAAAAGAGCAACATTAAAACATGGTAATGCTGGACAGGTACCTAACTTTGTTTTGTCAAAGTTTGCACTCTTCGGACAGACAGATTTTTATTTTGTTTGTAAAAGTGCGATTTGGGACCGGGAACTGCTATAAAACCAGAAGGACATTTATGTACGTGATAAAATGCGCTTTGAAATACTCAAATATGGTTTTTTCATGTATATTTTTCTGTCGATGTTTGATTAGTGTTTCCCCTATGTAATGTTAGTGGATGAAACTCTGCTACTTTTGCTATTATGATAACAAAAATATATAGTCAAACTTAGTTCGCTCGAACCTGGAGTGACAGTTCAAATTTGTGTTAGAGCCAACCGCAGTTGAGTTTTTATCATGTATCGTACTTTTTTAAGACATAGGTGTGGAAATTATCCTGGTTATATACTTATTTATTATTGTCAAAACTGATACAAGTTATTTAGTCCTTAGGTAAGGGAAGCATGCCCATATATTGTCTGCTTAAGAAAGGTGGTTGCTCAAAACATGTGAAGCTGAGAACAACGTGTACGTTTTGAGACATTTTTGTTTTGTGGTTTAAGCCATTATACTGCTGAATATCAGTGGCCGCTGGTTCAATTTGTACTGTAGATGATAGCCTTTCACCTATTTATCCTTTGCAGATACTTAAGACCACCGTTTTCTCCACATTTTTGTGCAAAGGATGATCGTACTGCATTTCATAATGATATTCAACTTTATTGAATGATAAGTAACGCCAAAACGTGCCGTGATTTAGCGCAAGAAACACACTGGCAATAACAAAAGTTATCATAAGAACTCTGTGACATCTTCAGAGTTATCACAAGAACTCTGGAATATTTGAAAAATCGGGTATAAATCTGTTAGCCGGTGCTTTATGTTTGCAATTTTGCATTATAATTAGGTAATTATGTATGGCAAGGATGAAGACCAGAAATAAACAGGTCAATACTTGTGAATTGGCAAATAATTTGGAAATTTTACTGAAAACTACCAGATTTGAAGCAAGAGGCGATGAAAAATGGCCTGTGAATTAGTTTTTGACACATAATAAAAGATGTAATACAAGCTTAATTATTAAAGTTTAATTTAGCACCTAAAAACTCATTTTTGACGATGAAAATAACCATTTTTGACGAGTTTTTTTTGTAGTATATACAGATGTTTACCGACGAACTCCGTGACAGTTATCACAAGAACTCCTGAACAAGTTATCATAAAAACTCCATCCTTCGTGTAACACTTCCTCCCCCGTGATTATATTAGTCTTATGCGAAGTTTAACGGAAAGGGCCGAGAAGATGCGATTTATCTTATACTGCCCTCACACATACCTCGCGACCTTACTGCGTCCTTACTGCGACCTTGCTACGACCCAGGACGCAGCACAGTCGCCATGGACGCAGCAGGGACGCAGCGAGGTCGTAGCGAGGAACCCAAGGACGCACAAGGTCGCAGACCGTCGGCGACTATTTTGAACATGCACAAAACAGTCGCAGAAACTCTGCGTTCTTGCTGAGTCCTGGTTAGGTCGCCGTGGGATCGCAGTGGAGTCGCCATAGTCGCAGCAGCATCGTAGTAAGGACGCAATAAGAACGCAATAGACGTAGTACACTCGTACTAAGGACGCCGTAGAGTCACCGATGAAATTACAAGAAAATGCTCGGAAATCTTTGGCGACGCTACTGCTACTGGTAAAAAGTATTGTTTTTATAGACGTAGCAAGAACGTAGTAGGGTCGTCGTACAGTCGCAGGACAGTCGCCGCACAAACGCAATAGTCGTCGTAGAGTCCCCGTAAGGACGCAGAGAACATAGCACAGTCACAGCTGGGTCGCCGATGATCGCCGTGGGGTCGCCTTGGGGACGCAATACAGTCGCAGTGGAAACGCCATGGACGTAGAAGGGTCGTATTGAGGACATAGAGAAAACGTACTGAACACAAGACTGCAGAGCCCCGGACCGTCTGCGAGAGAAATTTGAAAGAAAACCAACGATTTTCGAAAGAAAAATGCTATTTTACTAGTTTTCAGGTCGCAGTAAGGTCGTGGTTTATGTGTGATGGCACAGTAAGTGAATACGCACTAGTACTTTCATATTTTGCCTTAAGGCAACATGACTGTTATACTGCATGAAGCTACATAATTATAAATTAAATGTTCTGGAAAAGTGAGAAGAGTAAAGCACACACAAAGAAAATGATGGAAGGTTTATTTAGTCTGTTCAGGATCGATAAAATACGTCGAACATCCCTGATACCTACTGGTTTCAAAATTCTGTAAGAATAATTCAATATAAAATTAATATAATATATATATTTCTAGTAATTCAGTTACAATTTGCTAATTATAGCAAATCAATGCTTAATGTACTTGCTAGTTCAATTAACTTTGTCGAACATTTGTAGTCTGTTCGTAAGAATCGATATTTTCATATCATCAGGAAGTTCAGCGAATAACTTTGCACAGTTTTCTCTATACTTTACAGGGTCCTCGCCCGCTTTTTCGTAACCCGACGTAAAGTAAACGCCGGTAAATGCCTTATAATCGGCATACGGAGAGAACAGATTTTGCAGCTTTCAATAAACTATCGTGATTTACCATGATTGCTAGAGTTAGTATCTTTAGACACACCTCGGCTCTTTGATAACGTCTTGAAGACGACACTCCGCTTGAGTTAGAGACTGCACCTCTCTCCGTTTGAAGCCAGTCAAAAAGTACTTTTTCACATCTTTCTTTAATAACAGACATCTGGTATTCATCGGCTAATGCCAGCAAACGTAAGGCATTTGTTCCTGTAAAGAAATTTAATCCAATGGTAACCAAAGCTTTACAACTCGTGAAAATTTCTCACTTTTCGTCACTTTCCGTGTCAAAGTTAAAATGTTTATTTATTAAAATTATCAAATCTACATGTAGGGCATGATTCCACCAATGTGATACGTGGTGTAAGTGTTATACCAATATGATAAGTAAATGTAATAAGTGTTATATCAATGCAGAAAGTGTTGCATATAATTATTTGTTGAAAGTTATATTTAGGACAGAAAAATAAACAACCACGTGAACAAAAGTTAGATTTAAAGTGATTTTTTTTTCAATACATTACCGTTTCTCTTTCTCTTTTTACGGGAAAATTGGCACATAATAATGGCCCTTTAAACACACTTAGCTGGAATTGTGATTAAGTGTTACTATGTACTATGTTACCTTCTACATTAGTCGAAGGATTTCGTAAGTTCTGTTCTGTGTTAGGACTGGAGACAGCAAAATAATAAAATAAAGAGTTACAAAGGTAGGAGTTACGTTTTCACATAATCAACTGTATTTCAAATCTGCCGTTCGCGTGCGTGGCGGTAAATTATGAGCGAAAAATTGAGGCCCGTCAGTCCGTCACCAAAGTTTAGTTGCTATAGTTAGTGTATGATATATGAGGAATGATAATGAGGCTATGTGAATAAATATAAGAGAGATGGAGAATGGGTCGACGATTCAAATTAGAAATGCACTATATATCATATAGAATATGATAATAGTAAGGTATATATGTACATGTATATAAAATGACGAATGACCCTGTGACAACTACTTTGTATGATAATAATAATCAAGCAGACCTAAATGATTCACTGCAACTGAATATGTCAATAAATCACTGATAACAATAATGACAATTTACTCACGGTCAACTGGTGTCAGGATAGACGGGTGTAAACATTTCAATAATTCCAGCATCTCTTCACTATCCTTGCCTCTAAGTCTTACAACCCTTTCCTCAATCTCCTTAAAACCTTTTTGAAACATTGCCTCAAACACAGGCGATGCATAGCTGAGGAAGTTTTGCGACACAAATAGTTCACTCCTGTCATCAAACATCAAAACTATCTCGTCAGAGCAAGAGCCACTTTCAACAAATGGTGATTTTACATCTGAGACCAAATTATTCTCTGCTGGTTGAGTTGCCATCTTCCTATCTTGATATATTACAGATCATATGAAAAATTTAATCGGATATTAATTCTCGGTCCTTTCCGTCAAATTTATCAGTTATTATTGATAATAGCCATCTCGGTTATTACCCGATTGATGTGTGCACAAGTATGGAGACCATTCGATGCCAAAAAATAAGCCCTAGTGCTTCAATCCATTAATAATGTAGAATATGTCTTTACTGTACACACCGTATTAAATTCAAGGTGTAAAAAGATAAAATAAAAAAGATCAATTGCAAACTAAAAACTTTACAAAACTTATAAACATTATATCAATTGAACACATCAGTTAATCATAAAATAATGTATATTAAACATTTATTGAACATAATAAACTAAGGGTATGTGATCAGTTCTGATATTATTCTCGTTGTTTTGCACAAAATTTAAAACTCAGATCATGTGTAAAATAAACTCAGTAAGTTCTGATGTAAAAGAAATTAAACTGTTCACTAGAAAATGTAATGAGATCTGAATGCAAGAAGTATTGTTAAACAGAACTTAAATATCTGAGCAATTTAACTTAGATATCTGAAAGTTAAAGAACTATCCAGTATATATTTTATTCAAGAACCATCTTTTACATTTTATTTTACAATTGCAAAAACTATTCTTTACATTTTAGTTTACAACTATCTTAAAACAAGAGCCCTGGCCGGGCGGGGGCAACGCTCGACTTTTTACTTTCTCTAAAAGCAAACAAAGAAATGTTTGAACAAAATCTTAACGTTTCCTTTTTATAAAATTAATCATTCTATCTTGTCACATTAGTTTTGTCTATATATTTTTTATATATAAGTATACTAATTTATATATATATAAATAGAGACACGCAATTCTATAAATAGAAAATTCTAAAAATAGAAACACACAATTCTATAAATAGAAAATTCTATAAATAGATACACGTGGTGGAGTCACGTGGTGAAGTCACGTGGTGGAGTCACGTGGGGAAGTGACGTGGTGAAGTGACGTGGTGAAATCACGTGGTGGAGTCACGTGGTGGAGACACGTGGTGGAGTCACGTGGTGGAGTCACGTTGTGGACTCATGTGGTGGAGACACGTGGTGGACTCACGTGGGAGTCACGTGGTGGAGACACGTGGCGGAGTCACGTGGTGGAGTCACGTGGTGGAGTCACGTGGTGGAGTCACGTGATGGAGACACGTGGTGGAGACACGTGGTGGAGTCACGTGGTGAAGTCACGATAAACAACAAGGTCTTGTCCTTAAGTATGTTCTGTTATAATATGAAGTTGATCCCTTCAATAATAGCAAAGTTACAGCCAAAACAAAGTCAAGGTCATTTAGGAGTGAAAGTCAAGGTCTGTCGGGTTATTTTTAAGGGTTATCCTTAAAGATTATTATGTTCAAGTTTGAAGACAATCCATTCAAAAATAACAAAGTTACAGCCAATAATACCCAAAAACATGAAAATTTCAATAATTTGACCTTCAAAGTCAAAGTCATTTATGAGTGAAGGTCAAGGACTGTCGGGTTATTTTTAAGGGTGATCCATGAAGATTATTATGTTCAAGTTTGAAGACAATCCATTCAAAAATAACAAAGTTACAGCCAATTATAGACAAAAAAATAAAATTTCAATAACTTGACCTTCAAAGTCAAGGTCATTTATGAGTGACGGTCAAGGTCTGTTGGGTTATTTTTAAGGGATATCCTTTAAGATTATTATGTTCAAGTTTGAAGACAATCCATTCAAAAATAACAAAATTACAGCCAATAACAGCATGAACAAGCAAAATTTGGACTTTTAACCTTGAAGGTCAAGGTCATTTATGGATGAAGGTCAAGGTTAGTGTGGTCTACTGAAAGGTCTTGTACCAAGGATTGTTGTGGCCAAGTATGAAGACAATACACCAAGAAATAAAAAAGTTATGATCCAGGTACAAGATTGCGGACGAGAACGGCAACGGGAACGGCAACGGCAACGCCGACCCGACTATAACAATACCTCTACTTTTTTTTTTTCAAAAAAAAAAAAAAAAGTCGAGCTAATAACAATAACTATCTTTTACATTTTATTTTAGAATGGCCAATGAGATTCCCAGATTTTATTTTAATAATTTAAAATGACCAACGAAAACTCTTCTTATATTCAGTTCTTTCCTGTATTTATTACAGGAAGTCAAACTGAAAATACACCGGCCTTCGACCGGAAAGAATGGACGGTAACTAGTGTCATAATAGCGGAACTGGGTGATCATAATTGTGCATGGATCATGTTCCCAATGACATTATTAAGACCTTTTTACGACGCGATCCGTTGCTATGAAAAATTGACCGGAAGTAGTATTTTCTCGCGCATGCGCAATCTGCGTAGGGCAAAAAGAGCATTGTCTTAGTAGAAATATATAGACAATTCCGGGTTAATTTAATGTAAAATTAAAAAAAAATTATATATTAGCTTTTAATAGAATCACAAAAGATACCTTTATAGTTTTGTGGCCAAGATTGTCATAAAAAGGCATGGGAAAGACGATGGTTTAAGAATCCCCCCCCCCCCCTTACGATCACGGACCTGACATTGAGATAATTGTTGTAAAAAATGTGGAAATATATATATTAGCAAATAAAGAAGTCAATTTAATTGTTGTTGAAATCCTGCAAGGTATTTTATAACATATACAATCGAGGTTAATTATTATTCTGAAAATAAGTCGGAACACGTGATAATGCATTTTTAAAATCCAGTTTACCTAATTCTATCCTTTATCAACAACAACAACAACAACAAACTTTTATTCGCTGTAAGGCCTCCGGCCCATGCAAAGAATATATACAATTACAAACATTTTAATAAAGCATAGCATGTGTATGATAATAGGTAATATTTACAATTCTTGTATATATCGTTTTCTTCTTTCAAATGCATAATATAAATACATTGCAACAGATTTTATAAGTTCTTCATTTTTAGTTGACATGATGATATTAAATTTATTAATATTTGGTTGAGTAAAATATTTCAAAGGTATGTATGCTGCACGTAAATCAGAATAATAATTACAGTTTAACAAGAAATGATATTCATCCTCCACAGTATTAGTATCACATAATTTGCATATTCTATTTTCTCTTATTGTATAATTATATCTCCCTTTTTCAATTTCCAGATCATGACTACCAATTCTAAAATTTACATATGTATACCGAAACTTCCTGAGATTAAGAATATCAATACATCTTTCAAATATAAATTCCCTTTTGAAGGTTTTATATAGTTGCAACTTTGAATTTGTATTTAAACTTTCATTCCACTCCTGTAGACTTGTATCTTTTAGTCTAGTTTCAAAATTTCTCAAAAAATAGTTTTCATATTGTACATCTTGGTCATACCACACATAGCTAAAACAGTAGTTTTGTAAACATTTTTTTTACAGATGTAACCCAATTAACATGTCTGTAGTAATCATCATTTAACATCATCTTATAACATTTCTTGACAATTCTATTTTCTGACATTTTTAAAAATTTTAACCAGTATTTTATTGCACTTTTATATGTTTTAATATACATAGGATATCTGGAACAGTCACCTAATACTGCTACATGTGAAGCTTTTTGTTTAGCACATAGAAACCTTTTACATGCATAAGTTTGAACTCGTTCAAGCTCGTCAAATCTTCCTAATCCCCATATTTCAGACACATACAGTAACTGGGGAGAAATTTTACAATCAAATAGTTTAAAAAAAGTGTAACTAGATAGCTGACCGTATCCATATAGTGAGTTCAAAGTAGATATCATTACACGTTTTCCTTTAACACACAGATCATGGACCATACTATTCATAGATATTTGCTGGGTAAACTTTAAACCCACATAACAAAAGCTACTGACAACTTCTAAGTAAATATTTTTGTAAGTCCATTTTTCGTTTCTAGCCAAGACTCCGCCTTTTTTGAAAACAACTATTTTTGTTTTGGTTTCATTTACACTTAACATATACTTATCACAAAATTCTGAAAGCGCATTTAACTGACTTTGTAAACCTTTCACAGTATCGGACATTAAAGCGATGTCGTCTGCAAACATCAATAAAAATACTTGAAAAGTGTCGGGGTGTAATTGAATTCCCTTAATATCATTTTCAGACAAACATCGTTCCAACTCATCTATAAAGAAACAAAATAATATAGGACTGGCTAAGCACCCCTGTTTTAGACCGACAGTACTATGTATATATTCACTTCTTGTGTAATTACATCTAACACATGACTTGACCTTAACATACATACTTTTAAATGCTTTAAACAAGTTACCTTTTAAACCATTTTCTTTTAAAATATTCCACAACAATTGTCTATCTATAGTGTCAAAACACTTTTTAAAATCTACAAAAGCGACATATAATTTACGTCTTTTGTTTCTAAGGATACGATCAATAATTGACTTTAAAATAAATGCATTATCAATAGTTGAATAACCGGCTTTAAACCCTGCCTGGTTTTCAGAAATTTTATGATACAAAAAAAAATTAGCCTATTTACAAGAACACAACAATAAATTTTACTTAAGACATTTTGCCAGGAAATACCCCTGTAGTTTTCTACATTATTAACATCACCCTTTTTATGTATTGTTACAATAATATAGTCGCACCAAGTATCTGGATATTCACCTGAAAGAATATCCTATTGAATAACCTACTAAAACATGTGTAATACACTTAATTCCGTATATAAAAAATTCTGGCGTAATATTATCTGGACAACCTCATCACCTGATAATACAGAATCAACTATATTGTTTTCAACTTCACTTTCAGCTTCTTCTGTCGAAATATCAATATATTCTACATTTCTATCATTTGAAATATTTCGATTAAGTAGACCTTCAAAATATTGTACCCATTCAATTGTACTTATATTATTTACTGTCTTACTATTACGATTTGTTAATCTTTTTAGCTTCGACCAAAACGATTTAGAGTCATTTACACTATTGGTTAGATCTCATTTGTATGAAACTGTTTGCTTTTACTATCGCACATATTCTTATATTGTTTTCTTGTCT